GGGTTATGTGACTGGCACCCTGGGGACCTGAGAATAGGAACTCAGGCAAGTGGCTCAGATGCCTCCCAACTTCCACGCATCCCATCAGTGAGGTCCACCCAATACCACCGGTCTTACCCTCCACTGAACTCCTCTGCCATCCCTACTGGTCTCCTCCCTGTTGCTCTCCACTTACCAACCAGAAAAATCATTCTATAATCAAAGTCAGATCACACCAGGTGAGGTGGTGCATTCCGGTAGTCCCAGTGACTCAGGAGGCTGAGGCAGGAGGATTGCAAGTACAAGGTAAGCCCCAGTAACTTAGTGAGACCCTGTCTCAAAATAAAAAGGGCTGGAGAAGTAGCTCAGTGGTAAAGTGCCCCTGGATTCAATCCCCAGTACCAGAAAGAAAGAAGAAGAAAGTCAGATGATCACATTTACCCCTCAATTCAGGACACTTTGGTGGCTCATTTTACTCAGGGAAAGTCAAAATTCCTAAAATGGCCTTCAGCCCTTTCAGTGGGTGCTGCTCCATCTCACCCCCCTTAGTCACATCTCTGCTCTCACTCCTATCACCCTGCCATCCCCGATTCTCCACTCTGGTTACAAGCCCTATGAGCAGCCAGCAGACCCACCCTGGGTCCTTGCACCTGCTGTGCCCTTGGCTAGGTGACCATGTGGCTTCAGAAAGATATATATTTTAATTTTTAAACTTATTTACTTATTTTTATGCAGTGCTGAGGATCAAACCCAGTGCCTTGTGCATGCTAGGCAAGTGCTCTACCACGGAGCCCCAGCCCCAGCCCCAGATATATCTTTATAACCTCAACACCTCGCAGAGTGCCTGGCAGACAGCTGGCGCTCCGTGTGAACTAAAGTATCTGGGCTATCTGGGCTGCACACAAGCCACACTTAGTCCTCCTCGGCCACCTCTTTGCATGTGCTCTCTCTGGATTGTCAAAGTGTGCAGCACTCTGCGCCACATCAGAAAAACTCCTCTTTTGTCCAATGTCCCCAATTTGAGGCAGACTGACGCCTCTTTCCTGACCCTGGCGGGTTCATTCAGGCACACCTTCATTTTTCTGTTAACTCCCCTGCTCAACAAGCCAGTGGCCATGGTGCTGGTGAAAGCCCTGCAGCCCAGGTCTTTGCTCTTGAGGTGACAGGCGACAGTAAGCAAGAAAACCCACAAGACAACTGATGGGTGGTCAGTGATATAGAAGGAGGCAGTGACCTGAGACAGCAGCCAGACAGTGGAGGATTGGCGTGGCTTTGCTGAAAGGTGATGATAAAGCAGAAATCCTAAGAAGGGATCAGCCATGTGAAAGATGGAAGAAGAGCGTCCCAGACAGAGGGAACAGGAAGTTCAAGATGTCACAGAGGAATGAGCTTGATGTGTTTAAGGCACAGAGGGTGACCATGCGTCTGAGCAGGATGGACTCAGTGGGGTTTTGTGTGCGGGGTGAGGATGAGGGCACAAGAGGGTAGAAGCCAGGTTAGGATGGCGGGCAAGGGCCAAATCATTAGGGCAGTCCCTGGGGGAATTCAAGCAGTCAAGTGCATTATTTGGTATGAGCGCCCCCTAGCTGTGATGTGGAGAAGGACAGGAACAGGTAAAGGTGAAAGCAGAGACCAGGTAGGAAGCTGGGGCCTTCTAGGGAAAGAGGGTTAGCGATGGTGGAGGTGGGAGAAGCTGGTGGCTCTGGAGGTCAAACTGGCAGGTCAGAGAAGCACAGGAGCCCTATATGATGGACTTAAACAACAGGTGAATGGTAGCAGCTCCTGAGAGGGGGAAGGTACAGGGAGCAATCAGGCTCATGGCAGGGAGGAGCACAGGTGACTGTGGGACCACGCTCGCTGCCTTCCAGTTTTCAAGGGCACATTCCCTCTCCTCCATGAGGCTGCAAACTGCCTCCTCAGTGGAGTCCACCCTGTCTGACCCTTGCTTCAGAGGCTCTATGCTTGAGCAGGGCATGGTGGGAGCGTCTGTGGTCCCAGCACTCACCCCAGCAATGACTCTAGGAAGCTTCATTACAGAGCAGGACAGAGCCCTACACATGCACTCAATTCTATACTTCCCCAGGACTCTGGGCAGTTACCCCCTCTGAACCTCAGGTTTCATTTACAAAATGGGAACCCCCCCCCACCATGTGATATCACTCAGAGTAGCAAGTGAGGAAACATGTAAAGTTCCTAGCACATAGTAGATGCTTATTAAATCATAACAGCTAGCACCTTGGGAGAGCTTCCTAGGAAGCAGGCAATGTTCTAGGCATACTTATGGATATTAATGGAGCTGGCCTTCACTATTACCAAGAGGTGAAATTTACCTAGTGTTCTTCAAAGAAACAGAACCAATATCATGGGGGCATAGAGAAAAAGAGATTTATTTTAGGTATGGAGTGTTGGTGAATTTGAACACTGAAGGTGGGGTTTGGTAGGTAGGAGCCTGAAAAAGAGCTTCAGCAGAGTTCAAATGTAAGTTGCTGGCAGAACTCCTTGCTGGGGGTGGGAGTAGGGTGTCTTTGTTCTAGTAAGATCTTCAACTGATTGGATAAGACCCACCCACATTAGGGAGGGTAATCTGCTTTACTCAAAATCCACTGATTTAAACGTTAATCTCACCCAGAGACATACTCACAGGATATATCCAGCCTCACAGAACATTGAAAATAAAGCTTGACCAAATATCTGGGGACAATGGTCCATTCAAGTTAGCATGTAAACCACAGACACACACACACACACACACACACACACACACACACAAAGTTAACCATCAAGAGGTAGGCATAACTGTTATCCTAATTTACAATTAAGAAAACAGGTACAGGAGGGTAAGAAATCTGCACAAGGTCACAGACAAAAGCAGTCAGACTCTCCTGCTTGGCTCCAGCACTGGCACTTTCTACCACGACACTAAGTGGCCATTATCATAAGCATACCAAATGTAAATTAAATTTCTCCATCCATCCTTTTCCTGGCCTGAAGGCAGAAGGCACAGAAACTGGAGGAGGATTTTCCTGGGGGAGGCAGCTTGGGTGGGGCCCTGGATTGCTTAGGAAGCCACTCAAAAGCTAAGCTGTAAGAGCCTGGGGTGTGGAGTAGGGACAGGGGGAAACAGGTTCAGAGTGGAAAATGGATTTGTCTAAGATGACAGTTGAGCCAGGAGTAGGTCCCAGGGCTTCAGAAGGTGATGATGACAACGATGGTGTCTACCTGGTAACTTAGGTAGTTAGTTTTGTGCTAGGGACTACTCCTCAGTCCCCCTCCCAGGGCTAAGAATTGAACACAGGGCCTCACACAGGCTAAGCTAACACTCTGCCGGGGAGCTAAATCCACAAACCCTTTGCTAGGGGTTATTTCACATTAACTTCTTTAATATTTTGCATGTGACATGTATTCTATTATCATCTTTGTTTTAAAGAGAATGAGGAAACTGCAGCACAGAGAGGTTAAGAAATTTGCCTAAGGTCACACACAGGAAGAATCTGAACTCAGGCTCAAGCAGTATACTATACCTCTGAGGCCCAGGACAGGTTTCTTGGGGGGGGGGGGTGTCATGACACTACACAATCCCAGTCTTGTACCTCCCTCTCAGCTCTCCCAAATGGGCTCTGCCTGGAAATGACAGCTGAGATGAGACCAAAGTCCCTCAGCTCCTCACCCTCCTCTTCATAAGAGGAAATGCCCTTCTGCCCCAGTGGGCGGGCAAACCTGAACTCAGACACCTACCTGACAGTCATGGACACACCCCTCCTCACAACCGGATGGGTCTCAAACAGGTACACAAATACACTTGAATACAGACTCCAGCCCCCACCACCAGATCTAGCCCAGCTCACTGGCACACACTCCTAGCCTTCACACCCAGACAAGTAAATGTACCCCTGGAGCACACAATTATCTGGATGACACATGTCCACCCCCAACACACACATCACTGCACAACTTTCCTCCTCCCAGGGAGCAGGTAAGCAAGCACTTGTATGCGTAACACATAAAAACGGTACCCACACTCACAAAACAGCAGTTACATCTATCCCAATTCACATCGCAGCTGTGTGCTATCATTCGAGGCACACGAACCTCTTCTTGTACCCAGACCAAGGCACCTGGGCACAAGAGCCGTTGCCGCAAGTCACTGCCTACATTCTCAAGGGCCAGACCCCTCAGATGGCTGCCCAAGGATGCACCAGCTCACAAATAATGGGCCACACACGGGTAACATAGATTGCTCCAGCCTGTCCCTGCCCCACCCCCAGAACACAGAGCCCTAATTCCTGGGGACCACACCCCACACCCCTGCATTTGCCATTTGAAAGAAGAGTCTCGCGCACCCCTAGAGAACTCTTGACCCCAGCGGTCAGCGCACAGCACGCAGCGTCCGCCAGTGGACTTGCCCCACCTCGCTCTCCTAGTCTCCGCCCACTTCGCAAACTCTGGGAGGGCCTGGGCACCTGTCAGGCCTGTGCAGAACCGGCTGCCCCCTCCCACGCGTCTCGCCCGCCAACAAGCCGAGCCCCCAGCTTGCAGCAAGGAAAACGCGCTCGCATCTGGGGGAGGGGAAGGTCCACCATACAGGCGCTAAAAACTCAAGTCACTCAAGGATGACCCCTTTCCAGTCCTCATGTCCCTTCTCCAGGGAAAAAGGCCCGTCTCTATATTAACCCTTCCATCACCGCTGCACCACGGGAAGGAGCTGCCCAGCAGTGGCCACCGCAGCCCGGGGCAAGGGGGAGGGATCTGCCTGCCATCGTTGTGGGGGCTTGGGCCCGTCACGAGACAACCCCACACTCCCCATGCATCCACCCGCGCTCCCACCCAGGAGCCCAGGGGACCCGGTGGGAGAGATCTCAGGGGGCAAGGGCTCAGGAGGGGGCACCTGGAATATCCCTGGCTTCTCAGGACCAAAGCGCCAGAGGACAAGGACAACCCCCCAGAAAGTCCTCCGCAGGATCAGACGGGCACATGCAAGAGGCAGAGAGGTTGGAGAGAAAAACGCCCGGAGGCTCCCTTACCTGACTTCCTCTTGGAACTGCCATAATCTCTGAAAAAGAAGCAACAACAGACAGACATGGTTAGATTTCGGCGGGTTAGATTTTTAGGGCTGCGGGTCTCAGGCTGCCGGGGCACCCACGAGCGGGCTGCGGTCGGTCCCGGCGCCTCTGCTCATGTGATGCCCGCGGCTCAGCAAGCCGAGCGCTCCGCAGCTGCACGCACTGCGCGCGGCGCTGCCCGCGGGTGGCCCCGCCAGCCCGGCCTCCGGGAGCGATCGCCCCGCCCCGCCCCGCCCCGCCCCGCAGCCTGCACCCCTGACCGCCACGCCCCAGCCCGGCCCGCCAACGAGGGTTCACCTTCCCCCATCCTCGGAGGACCGAGGAGTGCAAGCCGCTGCCCTAGCACTTGGTGAGCAGGGAAACTGAGGCTCCAAGAAGCAGGTTGCTAAAACCTAGACCCGGACCTGCGCTGTGATGCGGCTCCCCACCCCTGGAGCGTTCTGCCTCCCAGTTCTTTCCATCACTTGCCCCATCCCACTCAGCCTCCTTGTCACGACTGAAATGTCATCTGCTGGATGCGTTTTCCTCAACACCCCCAGCCCCTTAACAGATTTGTGTAACCTTGTTATTTTTATTTTTCTTCTGGTACTGGGTATTGAACCCAGGGGCAGTCCACTTCTGAGTTACCTCCCTGGCTATTTATTTTTGAGCTATTTATATTTGAGATAGGGTCTCGCTAAATTGCTGAGATTGGCCTTGAACTTGTGATCCTCCTGCCTCAGCCTTCCAGAGTTGCTGGAATTTATAGGGACGTCTCACCCCCTTGACCCTTAGATTAAAGTGTGCCTTAGGGCACACTATGGCTCCTTTCCTCCCCCACCCCCCACCTTCTCCTGGGCCCAGCAAAGGTGAAGGATAAACACTGGCTGTGGGGTCAATGTTGAACTCAGCCTTTCTTCTTAAAGGCTAAGGCTGGGCAATCTGGGCAGTTAGTGGGTATAACACACTACAGGGGTAACTGGGAGGCCAGGAGTGGTAGGGATGGGGGTTGAGTTTCTGAAGGAGTACTGGATTGAAAATCTATCACTGACAATAACTGTTAGATGACCTTAGACTCTCACCCCTCCCAACCTCCACTCCTGTCTTGGAGGCTCCTATGCCCTCCAGGGAGAGATTAACCCAGATTCAGGATCAGGCAGGTTTCCCAAATCCTGCCCCCACACCTTCCCCAATCTTCAAGGGACTCAGGAAGGAGAGTGGCTTTCCTAAACTGAACTTCTGGACCCCTGAGATGCTTTGGGTTTTTGTTTTGCAGTACTGGGAATTGAACCCAGGGGTGGGTGCTCTATCACTGAGCCCTTTTTATTTGAGACAGGGTCTTGCTAAATTGCCCAGGCTGGCCTTGAACTTGAGATCCTTCTGTCTCAGCTTCAAGAGTCGATGGGATTACAGACAAGTGCCATTGTGCCCTGGCTTACAGTGCTGAAGTTGTGTTAGCACGCAGACACTGGCAGGCTTCCATGGGGTCTATCTGGAGACTGGAGGAAATACCTCCTTGCTGTCCATCTTTGGTCCAAACTAGTCAGCTAGATCTGCCTGCTGGAAAGGAAGTCTCTTGGAGAAGGGACAGATCACAGGCAACATCAACCTCATGAAGACTCTGAGTTCCCATTCTAGAGGCCTAGGGATGACCTAGGCCACTGGGTGCTTGTTAAACTGCAAGGTAATCCACCTGTACAGCCAGGGATGACACTCCCATACACAATCTCCTATATTTCCCAAAGTCTGGGCTCTGAGCCCGTTACACTGGAATGCTAGGACAAAGTCTAGGAAGTTTTTCATTTCTTTTTTTATTTTTATTTTTATTTTTTTTGTTAGTTGTAGATGGACACAATATTTTTATTTATTTATTTTTATGTGGTGCTGAGGATCGAACCCAGGGCCTCACACATACAAGGCTAGTGCTCTACCACTGAGCTAACCCCAACCCTAAAAAGTTTCATTTCTAATCCCTATTCTTCCCCCTCATCCTGTCTGAGAACCCCCTTGGTATGCCAACCCTCCAGCCACACTAAGAGGAAGGGGTTATCATCCCCATTTTTCAGATGAAGAAACAGGTTTAGCAGTGCCCAAGGTCACCCAATGGGGGAAAGGCTGTTATTTATAAACCTACCAGCAGGAATAAAAAATGCTGGATGAGAATCTGTTGAAACTGTTTCTCCAAAAGGCATCAGGAAAGGGGGAGGGGGAATCCCCCAACTTCCAACCAACATGTTCCTCTTTCTGAGCCAGAAGGGAGGCTGGGCAGACACTGTCCAGGTCTGCCTGGCAATGCTGTCTTGGAGCTCAAGCATGGGGAGGAGATGACAATCAGGTGGCTGCATCCACCCAGGGGGCTCTCTGTGCCCAAGGAGGGAATTAGCTAGCTTTTCAGGATTTTTTTGCTGAGCAAGGCTGGGCCACCAGGGAAGGGCAGGGAATGACTGGCAATGAGGAGCTATTCTCTGTCCCGTCATTTTCCTGCTGGACCTGCTGGGAGAAGACTCCTGGGCTTGGGACTCCACAGCCACCCGATATTCCCGGGGATACCAGCAATCCAGAAAGGGGGTCAGTTCCTCACAGTGATGCCCCCTTCTCCCCATTGTTCGTGCAGCTGTGGGCTGTTCAGGATTCTCTTCTAGCTCCCAGTAGGGAGGTAGGGAGGCTATTCCCTTGTGACAGGGGAGTACACTGAGGCTCAGGAGTGCAGAAGGGACATAACTCATATGCCTTGAGTGGCTTTGTGCCAAGTACCACATCGGTAAGTCTCAGCCTGGCCACTCAATGTAATCATCTAGAAAGCTGGCTAACCCCCACCCCCATTACCTTCATCTCCAGAAAGCTTCCCTGGGGATTCTGAGGCTCGCCAGTGTTGCATAATCTCCACTGGGCCCCAGCCACCCCTAAGACACATCCACACTAAGTAAGAACAGTGTGCTTGGCAAGCCAAAGAAGCTTCCAGACAAATCCCTTGGCCTGCCTGGCCTTCAACCAGAGTGGGGAGCCCACCCCACCAAGGGCTTCTCTCTCGCCCCCTGCAAGTGGAGCAGTCCCTGCTTCTTGCAGGTGAGAAAAACAAGGTTTAGAGACGCTGGGGAACTGGGTCAAGGTCAGGGAGGGCTGGGTTGGGCAAACCCCCAGTGAACACCCCTCCCCTCAGCAGTGGGTGCCAGAGTGGAAGGCAGAGCCCTGGGGCCTGACAAGCACGTGGGGTTAATGAGTGAGGCTGAGCGCTTGTGGTGGGGGCAGCCAGGCTGAGACTGAATGGCAGGATGGCAGGCCCAGGAATCCTTCACTCGGTATCTGGCCTCCAGCCCAAGCAGGCGCTGCCCTAATAGGAAACCTCTTAGAGGTTTCCGGTTGGGCACCTTTTAGCAAAGCCATTTTGTATTTTTAGCTGCTGAATATGCTGAGAAGCAGCTTAGGTATCCAGTGGCTGGGAATCCCCCCAACCCTCACATACCAGGGCCCCCACCCCTGGCACACCCACCCCCAAGGGTCTTGCAACCAGTCCTGGCCTGGGCAGGAGGACCAGGCCCTCTGTTGGGGTCCAGTTCCCTCATAGCTCAAGACCCCCTCCCACAACCCTTCTTTGCTCCAAGGCTTGCCGTGAGCCATGCTGACAGCCCCAATCCCACCAGTGACTCCCCTCCCAGGAGGTCACAGTCTAGCCTCCTTCCGACTTGCTGCTGAGTCACCATCTCCCACTGAGCCATAGGAAGAGAGGAGGGTAGGGTAGGGCTAGCGTCTCCCTCTAGCGATGCTAGAAGCTAATGTAATTGAAAAGGCCTCCCAGCCTGTGTCTTGAAGGCCATTTGGCCTTCTCCCCAGCTGGTCCAGGGACAGACTAAGACCATAGGCATAGTGACCAATGGAACCAGGAAAACAGGAACATGGAACTTACAGGGCTTATACTGGACAAACTGTGACTGATGGTCCACAGGTCTGGTGGGTTAGGGAAGAGAGGCGGTGAAATCCCTCCAACCCAGCACCCTATTCGAATCTATCCAAGGTCGCCTAGAGCCCTACTCCCCAACCCCACGTGACAGCATTCATTCCTAGGCCCTTCCTCCTGGGAGATGCGTCAGCTCTGCATGAGGACAGCCAGTCTGCAGTTCTAATCCGGGCTATTGAGGTACTTCTTTCATCCCTGAGCCTCTATTTCTCCAAATGCAGGATGAGGACAGTCACAGAACCTTGAGCTTTGGGGAGGAGAAAGTGTGCAGCATGCAGAACAGGGCAGCCTGGCTGGACACACACTGTAGGAATCACCTCTGATAGCATTCATTCTTCTTTCATACCTGGATGCTGTGTCCAGCCTTAGTTGCTACCCAGATGGCAAAGGCCTATTGAAACTTGGCTACTACAAGGGCATAGTGGCTCATGCCTGTAATCCCAGCAACTTGGGATTCTGCCACAGGAAGATCATAAGTTCAAAGTCAGCCTTAGCAATTTCCCCTGGCATTATCTATAAAAGACCTGGGATGTAGCTTGGTGGTAGAATGCCCCTGGGTTCCATCCCCAGTACCAACAAAGCAAAACAAATCAAAACTTGGACCTTGTGGATCCCTGAAACTCTCTGGATATTGGTAAGAGATTGGTGGAGCTGGGTGATCCTAGTCCTGCTTTCAGAGTTTTCACGGACACCAAGACAATCATTGGTCTCTGTCCATTACCAAACACTGGGAAAGCCTAGTGTTTTTGTTGTTGAGATGGGGTCTTGGGGCTGGGGATACACCTTAATTGGTAGAGTGCTTGCCTCCAATGCACAAGGCCCTGGACTCAATCCCCAGCACCATAAGAAAGAGAAAGATAGGGTCTTGCTATATTGCTCAGGCCAATCTTAAACCCCAGGGCTTAAGTGATCCTCTTGCCTCAGCCTCTAGAGTAGCTGGGATTATTGGCACTGTGCTGGGCTAACAGGACACATGGACCCTTCYCAGGAGCAGGCCCTGCATCTTCGTGCTAGCACACACCTGGAAGGAGCGGCTTTCTTCCTTTGCTTTCTTTC